CCAGTCACGATTATATGTCATGTGATAGGATGCTCCAAAATCCAAGACCCAAGCATCAGTAGAACTTAATGTACAAACAGTCAGTACATCACCACCATCCCCTTCATCAGAACTTTCTTGAACCATAACACCAGTGTTATTGCTGCTTGATTCACTCTTGGACTTCCCATTCTTCAGTTGTGGACAATTTTTGTTGAAGTGTATCTTATCCTTACAGTTATAACACTTGGCATTCAATGAACCTTTAGACTTCGACTTAGAATGAGATGTCCCTTTGTTTCCCCATTTCCTCTCTTCTGTCCTTCCTCTCCCTTCAAACAAACTAGAACTGGACACCACCTTTCAAACTAAAACTTTTCTTTTTCAGTTCCTTGGACACCAAAGAGCCCTTCACATCATTCAAGTGATCATTTTCCTACCATAGAGCATGATATTAATGAAATTCTCATATGAGTTCGGAAGAGAACATCAGAGAATGAGCACTTGATCTTTATCTTCAATCTTCACATCAACACCTTGTAGATCCAAGATGATGTAATTGAAGTTATCCATATGATCTTTTAGTTGGGTACTTTCAGACATTCTAGGAGTATACAACCTTTGATTCTGATGCAACTTGTTCGTCAGTGAGTTATTCTGGTACTTGTCACAAAGTTTATCCTAGATCCCAGAAGCAGTTGTTTGATCCACGACCTCCTCAGTACTACATCTGTCAAACTCAATATAATAGCATTATGTGCCTTCATCAGAATATGCACCTTATTTTCATCCACCATGTCTTTAGGCAGTGGTGCATCCCCTTCTAGTGTTGCTACACATCCTTGCCGAACTAGAAGAGCATTCATCTTCACATTCCACAATGTGAAGTCATTTGAGCCATTGAATTTCTCCAAATCAAACTTGTGCGTAGACATCTTCAATCACAAGAATACAAACTACAGCTCTGATACGACTTGTTAAAAAGTAAAGCGGATAACTAACAAAATTATAAGAACAAAAGACGCAATATTTTTGTTGTTCGGTCAAGGTGACCTACGTCCATGGGTAGGAGGGGAGTATTCTTTTATTTCAGAGCTCTCAAACAGAGGTTACAAGTACAGTTACACAGAGATTCGCCTATCACTCTAGATTTCAAGGCACAAAATGACCTAGCATGCATCCCCATTTATACTTGAGGGATCAGACCTAAAACTCTAATAGGCCAAGCGCATTGTCTCATAGGCCCACAAAAGGTTTCAACCAATCACAATCATTCATGCAACATCTTTTGGAATATTCTTCCATGTTATACAAACCATGAACATCAACAACATGCATGATCGAGCACTTTGTGCCGTCGTGGAGCATCATGATGTACAAGTGGTGCATCATGAACACTAATAGCCTATCATTCATCATGGTGGAACAACATGGTGTAATTATTAGATTAGGTATCTAAGCCCATAACTATAACTGGTATGTACTTGACCCCATAGTAGCATGGTCTATTTCGGGTTGCCTTCATCAGGATAATTTGATTGGATGGATTTTGAGAAAGAGGTTATTTGTGATTTATTAATATACTATAAGTATAATATATTAATTGATGAATCATATTATTTAATTAATATTGGTCAATAATTAATCCGGAATTAATTTAGTGATCAAAAGAGACTAATTAAATTTATGGGGACTGATTATGTAAATCACTGATATTTATAGTTTAGGCTAATGATCCATGTTGATTAGGAATGGACTAAATCTTTATGAGAGTTCATTAAGAGTTAGTCCATAAGGCTTATGAGTTAATGGATTAAAAGCCCAAGTGAATTAGGCTTACAAGTTTAAACCCTAAAGATTCCAAACTATAAATTGAACCCTCTAGCTTGCAAAATCGCGACTAGTACTCCAAGGTTAATTCCTAGCCGATGTTGAGCTCCTAAACCTCTCTCTCATATCCATCCAATTGTTCATGGTGTTTTTGACTTGTTTGAGGCATCACACTTGAGGTGCTAAGCTCTTGAAAGGCCAAATTCTACAAGCTACAATTAAGAGGTATTCTTCTAACTAGTTTTTATGTTGTATATTTCCAATTGTATGCTAGTTTAGGCTTATGATTTGGATAATATGAAATTACATGTATAAATAGAGAAAACTTAGATCCAAGGCATTAGGGTTGTATGTGCACCATATGAGTGTTATAATACATAAACCCAACAGTAATCCTTGAGCAATACCAACTTCTAAGCATCCTTGAATGATCATGAGCATCATAGAGGACTTCATAGCATACTTGGCTCATCAAGGATCAAGATGGTCCAACTTGCGCCATCATGGCGCAACAAGAATATGGATGGCGCAAGAACATCAAGATTGGAGAAACAACACCAACATGGCGTAACAGGAATATGCATGCACAACAAGTCCCATGCATGGTGCAAGAGTATAGCTCATGGCGCAAGAGATATCTTTACTATCTTATAAAAGAAATCTCACTATTTCTAAAAATAGATTGAATATAATAATATTATTTTTTTAAGACGTTCAAATCATTAAGCTAATAGTACAAGTAGTCATCAATAAAATAATATTAAATTTTAACCTGTGTTTTGAATACTTCTATTTCTCAACAAATTCTATCTCCTTCCCTGAATTTCGGATAATTCAAAATTTGAAACCATCAGAAAATACATGTTGATTCAAATATCCCTCCTGCAGATAACTCTTTCTTAACGGGTTTTTATTTTAAACCTTACTTGTAATTAATTTCATCATTTTTAACTTTTTGTATATTTATCTTATAAATATATTTGGTGAAGGCTTTATTATATCAGGTTTGGTTCAAAAAAGGTTTTTACTATGTTTCTTTAATGTGTTGGGTTTGCAGGTTCAAAGAACTCAACCAAGAGGGGCCAGTTAGAGCATTGTATTATCATTAGTTTGTATATTTTGGTATCTTACTTTTGCAATAAAGAACGGTTAGATACAAGATTTGACATGATTAAGGTAGTTTGTATATTTTTCATCTTGTTTAGTCTAAAAATGAAACCTTTTTCATCATTGGTTTAGGTATGTATAAATGAAAGTAATAAGCATTTAGGGGGTGTTTGGCAAAAAAGTTTATTGCTTATCAGTTTATTAGCTTATAAGTTAATATGTAAGTGTAGGGTAACTTATGAAAAAATGACGTATTAGAAGTTCCCCAATGGAATAAGTTATTTTAATCCAATTTTTTTTTTAACTTATAGTGATGTGGAACCTAATAAGTTGTTTTAAAAAAAGCTTAGCCAAACACCCTCTTAATCCATGTTTTGAAAACCGTACCGGACCGGCCGGTTCGACCGGTTCAACCGGGAACCGGTCCCGGATCCGGTTCATAAAGGTCAAAAAACCGGTATTTGTTTGAACCGGTGAAAACCAGTAAAAACCGGTTGAACCGGTAAAAACCGGTTGAACCGGTAAAAACCGGTCCGGTTGAACCGGTAAAACCGGTCCGGTTGAACCGGTAAAACCGGTCAAAACCGGAAATTTTAAAAAATATTTATTTTTTTCATTTTTTGTATTTTTTATATAATTAAATATAATAATGACATCATCCGGTTTTTCCGGTTTTTTAGACCGGTCCGACCGATTGGACCACTTGAACCATCGAACCAGTAAGACGACCGGTTCGGTCTCCGGTCCGGTTTTCAAAACCTTGCTCTTAATATGGTATGGTAATGCTCTTGAAAAATAGATGTCATTTAATATTCATTTCTCGAAGTGAACGTAAAATGGTTTTAACTCTAAAAATATCAAATTATTCGCCATCCGCCGCTTTGCGCGGGTAGACGGCTAGTCCTTATAGCGCAAGAGGAACCCCTCATGGTGCAAGAGGGAGTATAATGGCACAAGAAGGAATGCCATGCGCAATAGTATCCTTCCTCGCCCATCCATTCAACATATGGCGCAACAAGGTTCCCTTGTTGCTTTATATCACTCCCAAGTGCTCCAAACGTCTTCCAGGTGCTCCATACTCCCTTTTGTATGATCCGTTCCTTTGTCAGATGACTTATTCCTTTCTCAGATGATCCGTTCCTTTGTCACATGCTCCATGAACCCCAAGTGCTTCATTGAGTTCCAAGTGCTCCAAATGCTCCATGAATATGGTCCAAATGTTCCATGAACATGATCCAAATGCTCAAGTCATATTTAACAATAGTAACTAAAATATTTTTACGGACCTTTTCGTACGAGATAAGCTCGAGTGAATCGAAAGTAATTATTATTTTTTATATTAAAAAATGTTTACTTATGGAATAAACATATTGATATGTGTACATAATATTTTTCCTTCCACTTCGAGTTCTTATGTTAATAGTGGTGAGGCTTCCTTTTCCGACAACAAGAAACAAGTTTGTATCATATCATATGTGTGCTTTATTTTAGAGCAATTGTGGGTTAATGTTACTATCACTACTAGAAAATTGGATCAATAGCTACAGCATAATCCGTAGCTATTCCATAGCTATAAGCGGATAGCTACGAAATTGCTACGGAAAAATGGTTGTAGCATAATGGCTCGTGGCTAAATTATAGCTACGGATTAGCTACGGAATTGCTACGGAATTGCAACGGAATAGCTACGGAAAATTCCGTAGCTACCATAGCTACGGAATAGCTACGGAAAAAATATAGCTATGGATTTCCTACGGAATAGCTACAGAAATAAATAGCTACGGAATAGCTACAGATCCAAATAGCTACGGAATAGCTACGGACCTAACTAGTTACGGAATAGTTACGGATCCAAATAGCTACGGAATAGCTACGGACCTAAATAGCTACGGAAATCCATAGTTATTCTGTAGCTAACTTCGTTTTATTTAAAAAAAATTAAAATTTAAAATTTCCAATTTTTAGTTAAATACCACATTCAATTCACATTTATCCCAAATACCATATAAAAAATTAAGCACTAATCAATATTAATAAAATACTTTTGTTTATTATCAATTTAATCAATATTATCAACAAACTACCTAACTTTTAACCATAATACCTACCTTACTTTTGTTTATAACAATGCATTTCGGCTCCACCTGGTTGTGTTATTTGTAGTATATAAAATTATGAAAAATAATTTCTAGATGCATGATTAATTATGCTTACTTTTTCCGTATAAGGCATGTTGTTGACTTCTGACCATGTGAGAGTTGATCCAGATTTCCTCTTGCTCCAGATTTCCATATGTTCCTCCTGATAATTTTGAACACATACATATATAATTAATTGATTTATGACATGTTCGAACTTGTAAATAAGTACTTATAAAACCTACGTACTTTGAGTTGATCCAAGGTTGCTTGATTTTCTACATGTAAGGGCGGCGTTGTCGTGTCGTGACCTGTAATTCGCTGTGTTAATACGTTGTCCTTCATTTGTGCATCCGTTAGTTTTTCATCGTCATCTTCTCCTTCTGATCCTTCTTTTACATGCTTAATAATCAATGACCCCAAGAAATCTTGTTGCATATCACTTCCATTTCTTCTTCTTGCTATTATCGTGTCTAACATTTCAAACATCCCATTCCGTGCCTGATGATCAATCAAAACATGGTTCAAACTTATATGACTATATATGTATACACAATTTCACATGTATTCAAAATTTTACAAGTACCTTCGTGCCATGATAGAAGGCAGTCCCTGGTATATTAAAAGGCAAGGTTGCAAAGGAAGAAGAAATGATCTTGAAATAATCTCGAAATTTCTCTTACTCTTCACCCTCAGGCTCTAAGCTCATTATCATGTTTCCTATAACCTTTAAAGTGAACTGCGTATAATGGAAAAAGCGTATATATCAGCATGGACACAATCAGACAACGGGATACTAATATGATCAAGCCTTAATTAGGTCGTCGGATTACTGTTGAAGCTTCTTCAAGAACTAGAAAAGTCAGAGACTTACCGGTTAGGGTCGATTTGCTTTCTGCCATTATGACTAGCATTATAACAAGAAAGACTATCACATTTAAAGGCATTTTCACATCCATAGAAGTGTTCTTGGCCATGGGTGTTTATTTATTATTGGCTAGCAAAGACGTCTGTTTTGGCTTATACATGGTCTGAGTTCTTGATGTTGGCATTTTATAGTAAAAGATTTGAGATAAATTTCCAAAATGTTACGTTAGTTTTAAGATGATGAGAATAAAAGCCGAATTTCTCATTGTTGCAAACGGCCATTGTTGTTCCCTGGGATTCTTAATTACCACTACAACAACATAACTACATAAGTCCTAAAACTTAGCTCTTAAACATCTTCCCGTATCATAATTGTATGCATGTATTAATTTAAAAAAAAAAAACCTAGGGTTTTGCCTTTTTGGGGAAGAATCGAGCAAAGAGGCAGGGAAGGCGGATGCGCCGGAGAAGAAGGCGAGCTGGGCGGAGACGGGTGGTGACGGCAACGTGTCGACGGAGAAGACGGCCGCCGAGGAACAAACGGGAGCGGAGGTATCATCTTCATTGGGTTTTTCTTTCTGTTCGTCGAAATGTTATTTGGTTCCTCCGCTCATATTCAATTACAACAAAAGATGTGGGATTTCAATTAAAAGCAATAGCTATCGATTTGCTACGGCCCAGCTTCGGAATCTACTACGGATTTGCTACGGTCGTGCATTAGCGACGGCTTCGCTATGCATTAGCTACGGCTAGCAAAAATGGAAAAAAAAAAAAATTGGATAAGAGTTCGAACCTGGGTTGCCTGGGTATTCTACAACTACCTTACCACTCGGCCAAGCATGCCACATCCAAACAAGGTTGATCGGCAATTAGTTATAAACACATTCTCATTATTATTATTATTGTTATTATTATTATTATTATTGTCATCGTTATTATTTTTATTATTATATCTATTATTAGCTACAGATTTTTTATTTCGATTTTCGGGCCTTCATTTTTTTGCACACCTCTATTATAAATAATTATCTACATTTTCACCAACTTATAGCTATTGATATCATTCATAAAGTCGTGTGAAACTTTGGGATCAACTACTCGTTTCACAGTTTGTGATGATGAAGATAATTATGATGAAGATGATTATGGTGATGGTGATGGTGATGAAGATGATTATGACGAAGATGATTAAGGTGATGATGATGATGATGATGATTGTGGTGATGGTGATGGTGATGAAGATTATTATTATTATTATTATTATTATTATTATTATTATTATTATTATTATTATTGTGGTTGTGGTTGTGGTTGTGGTGATGGTGATGGTGATGGTGATGAAGATGATTATGGTAATGGTGATGGTGATGGTGATGGTGATGATGATGATGATGATGATGATGATTATGATGGTTATGATGATGGTGATGATGGTAATGATGATGATGATGGTGATGATGATGATGATGATGATGATGACGACGATGATGGTGGTGGTGGTTATCATTATTATTATTATTATTATTATTATTATTATTATTATTATTATTATTATTATTATTACTATTGTTATTATTATTATGGTGATGGTGGTGATGGTCATGGTAGTGATGGTGATGGTGATGATGGTGATGATGAGGATAAACGATGACGATGAAGATGATGATTAAACTTGATTAAACTTAAAACAAAACATAAACAACAACAAACTGATGCATAAATGATGACGATGAGGATGATGATTATGATGATGACTATTAATATTGTGATGATGACGGTGATGGTGATGGTGGTGGTGATGGTAATATTGATGGTGATAGTGGTGATTATGATGGTGATGGTGATGGTCATGGTCATGGTGATGGTGATCGTGATCGTGATGGTGATGGTGATGATGGTGATGGTGGTGGTGGTGGTGGTGGTGATGGTGATGGTGACGGTGATGATGATGGTGGTGTGATGGTGGTGGTGGTGATGGTAATAGTGATGGTGATAGTGGTGATTATGATGGTGATGGTCATGGTGATGGTGATGGTGATGGTCATGATTATGGTGATGGTGATCATGATGGTGATGGTGATGATGGTGATGGTGGTGGTGGTGGTGGTGGTGGTGATGGTGATGGTGATGGTGACGGTGATAATGATGGTGGTGGTGGTGATGGTGGTGATGGTGATGTGATGGTGATGGTGGTTATGATGATGGTGATGGTGACGGTGATGGTGATGGTGGTGATGATGATGGTGATGGTGATGGTGATGGTGGTGATAGTGGTGATGATGATGATGATGGTTATGGTGGTGATGGTAATGATGGTGGTGGTGATGATGATGATGATGATGATGATGATGGTGATGATGATGATGGTGATGATGGTGATGGTGATGATGATGTAGGTATACGTGTTTGTGAGAAGTATGTGAACGTATTCATAAGCATTATAGTGTTAAACCAGTAAACGAGTAATGGATCTCGTATGTGCACACGACTTTATGAATGATATTAATAGCTATAAGTTGGTGAAAATATAGATAATCATCTATAATAGATGTGTGAAAAAACGGAGCGAAAAAAATGACGTTTGATGCCCAAAAAATCAAAAATAAGAAAAATCCGTAGCTAATCCGTAGCTAATTAGCTACGGATTTCTAACAGAAAGCATATTTCATAGCTAATCCGTAGCTAATTACCTACGGATTAGCTACGAAATATGCTTTCCGTTAGAACTCCGTAGCTAATCTGTAGCTAATTAGCTACGGATTAGCTACAGATTTTTCTTATTTTCGATTTTTCGGGCACCAAACGTCGTTTTTTTCGTTCCGTTTTTTTCACACCTCTATTATACATGATCATCTATACTTTCACCAATTCATAGCTATTAATATCATTTATAAAGTCGTGTGCACACACATGATCCATTGCTCGTTTAATGGTTTAACACTATAAAGCTTATGAATACGTACACATACTTCTCACAAACACGTATACATACACATATACACGTACACATATACCACAACTCATTCATGCATATAAATATACATATAGAAACATAATCCATCCCAAGTTGGTGAAAAGTATAGGCATTACAATGTTAAACTACGAAACGAATACTTGATCTCGAAGGGGCACATGACTTTATGAACGATATTAATAGCTAGAAGTTGGTGAAAATATAGATAATCATGTATAGTAGATGTGTGAAAAAAACGAAGCGAAAAAAACGACGTTTGGTGCACAAAAAATCGAAAATAAGAAAAATTTGTAGCTAATCCGTAGCTAATTAGCTACGGATTTTTCTTATTTTTGATTTTTCGGGCACCAAACTTCGTTTTTTTCGCTCCGTTTTTCTCACACCTCTATTATACATGATTATCTATATTTTCAGCAATTTATAGCTTTTAATATCCTTTATAAAGTCGTGTGCACATACGTGATCCATTGCTCGTTTAATGATTTAACACTATAATGTTTATGAATACGTACACATACATCTCACAAACACATATACATACACATATACACGTACACATATACCACAACTCATTCATTTATATAAATATACATATACAAACATAATCCATCACACGTTAGTGAGAAGTAAATGCATTACTATGTTAAACTGTGAAACGAATACTTCATCCCGAAGGGGCACACGACTTTATGAATGATATTAATAGCTACAAGCTCGTGAAAATAAAGATAATCATGTATAGTAGAGGTGTGAAAAAAACGAAGCGAAAAAAACGACGTTTGGTGCCCGAAAAAATGAAAATAAGAAAATCTGTAGCTAATCTGTAGCTACTTAGCTACGGATTAACTACGAAATTCTAACGGAAAGCATACTCCGTAGCTAATCCGTAGGTATTCCGTAGCCATTCTGTAGCTAATTAGTTACGGAATAGCTACGGATTTGCATCTGTAGCTATTCCGTAGCTAATTAGCTACGGAATAGCTACATACCCGCATCCGTAGTTATTCTGTAGCTATTTTGTTACTAAACTAGGGCATCCCATTCTGTAGCTGATCCGTAGCGATTCCGTAACTAATTAGCTACGGAAATTTTCCGTAACTAATTAGCTACGGAAATTTTCCGTAGCTATTTTCCATAGGAAAACGCCATGTTTTCTAGTAGTGTATATGACCACAAACTTTCAACTTTATACTCGTTTCATCTCTAATTATTTTTGTAGATTATGTGTAACTAAACTTTAAATTTTTGTATAAAAAAGTCATTTATTGGAATATGAAGAGGTATGATGTGTTGGTCAAATTTATTTCAGGTTTTACCTGAAGTTGTGGTTTTTATTTATATATAAGTGTGTGGTAAAAATAATTGGTAGCTTTTGAAATTTGTGAAATTAAAAAAAAAAATGTATAAAAGTCTAAAATTAAAACATAATAATGAAAATCTAGCCTATATTTTTCAAAATTTCAAAATTTCAAAATTTTATATAATTATGATTCATTACAAAAATCAAAATTTATATGGGACAAGAAGGTAAATCATATATATTTTTAGGGACATTTTAGTAAATTTATTTAAAATATATATGAGTTTTTCTATTAAATGCTACTTGTAGTTACTTTTAGATTTGATTTTTTTTTTAAATATAAGTTTTAAACTCGTACTGTTAAATAAATATTTTTTCCAAGGTTTTTTAAAAACTAAAAATTAGAAACTCTCAAAACTTGTTTAAAACTCATTATCAAACATGTATGTAATACGGTTACTATTTCGTTGCATGTCATATGACACTTTGGTAACAAAGTTGTACCACTTTAGATTGATATGACATCCAAATGAATTTTACCTCCTTTAAATATTCCTTCCAAATCCTTTTATAAAAATATTTAGGTTGAATTTGAACTCATATGCTCATTCAATTTTTTGGCAGAACTTGTTAGTAAAAAAAAAAACAACTGTAGGAGTTCTTACATCGAATAATTTAGATGTTGGTTATAAATTATTAGGCAATTCAAATGAGTTTTTAGTATTATCATCAATATATTTTGATATATTTAATTTGACTTTTAGGTGGTCCAGAAAGGTAATGGGAATTATTCCAACTTAAAATGTACATAGAACATTTTGGATGGGTGGCAACACAATACTTGCAACTTTGCAAGTGTAAAATATGGACCATCCAAAGAATATAACCCATCAACTCAAAAGATATGCTACAAAGGTATTTAAAAATATAATATTATTATTATCTAAACTATGTTAGTTGTAATGTTAAAATAAATGGGGACAGAGAGCATGATCGGTTTTAAAAAATTAAATATTTTTAAAGGTTCGGGACGAACAAAAAAAATTATCATTATCTTTATTATAATTTTTTATTTTAAATAAATATATCTAAAGAAAAAAAAATGATCATATGCAGCTGTCCACTTCCCCCTCCCCTCTTAACAGGGAGTTATTGTCTCGTTAAGAAAACATTTGTCTAATGTATAAAACTAGTAAATGAGTATGTGCATTGCGGCGGATTTTTGTGTACCTTTGTTGTGTTTTAGGAGTGGGAATTAATTAATCTAACTACATTTTATAAAGTTCAAACT